ATTTATGTACCATATTGCATGACTGCAGTATCTATACCATAGTTTGTAGACGCTATAACTTTCACACAAAGCAATCAATATACACTTATTGGGATTGTTTTTTACCAAAAACATGTAGCAGAATACATTTTGGCCCAAATTTATAACTAAGTTTGAGTTTACTATATATTTTTTTATAGCTGAAAGTAAAAAATATAGTTTTTCTTCACAATTTGTGGTCTTTTTTTGGTTACAGCGTGAAAAATAAAAAGCGCACAGGTGATCAAATACCATCGAAAGAAAGCTCTATTTGTGTGAAAAAAAGGACGTAAATTTTGTTTGGGTGCAGCATTGCATGACCACGCAATTATCAGTTGAGTTAGTGCAGCGCTGAGTAGCAAAAAGAGGCCTGGTCAAAGGGAGGTAAATCCTCAGGAGGGCAAGTAGTTAATTGCAACACAAACAGCTTAGCAGAATAATTGTTCTTTTCTCAAAAACAGTGTTACGGTAGTAACAATCTGTTAAACTACAAGCTCCAGGATGTCCTGCTAGCACCCTGCACTTCTAACAGGTCTATACTAAGGTTTGCAAGTGTTAACCTATAACTATTGCATCCTTACAGCAATGCATCCTGACATCCATTCAAATGCTGTTTAGTGTCCTTACTGCAGGATTTTTCAAGACTAAGCAGCAGAGAACCAGAAAAATAACAAATATTGTAACACGTTTATCAAAAATTTATATTTTTACACCATAGCAAACGTATTACCAGATAATAGGTTACTTTAAATAATAAATAGCCACTGAAATTATAAAGGGTAGGGAGATAATCTCTTCCTTCCTTCCAGTAAAATGCAAAATCAGATGTCGTAGCTGGGAAGAGATTGTATATATAAATTAATAAGAAAATGTAATAAATGCATTACATTGCTTCAATACAACATGGGTCATTTTTACAAGCAGTTCTAAATATTCTAAAGATAAAATACAGACATGGATTATATATCTGGCCTTGGCAAACATAGCACTGAGCTCTTGAATGACAGCTGGAGGTCAGGGTTATACAGTGTGTAGTTAGCACACCTTGACTGAACCCATTCATTCCTTGTCCTCTGCTGGGATTCTCAGCTGCAGCCTGCCAGGCCTGATGTGTGGAGCCAGCAACAGGGAGTTGGCTCCGAATAGCAGAATTCATTCCTGAGCTAGTCACAAAGGGGCATTTCTCTATCATCTGTAACTGATTCCAAGACAAGCCACTTTTAAACAGGACTCTTTTGTACGTTGTACAGAGCTAATGTGCTAAGAAGCACTGCATATAGTCTGGGAGGCAAACATCAAGAGAAGATGAACTGGAACTCAGAAATGGGCCCACTGCATACTGGCTACTCCCTATACAGCTTCACTGGAAATGATTCTTGTGGAAAGTAACTCAAACCACTTTAAAGGTTACATTGAGGGATATAAAAAAAATGAAACTATTAAAATGAGTCTGTTTGACTACTACTAACTGTATATTGTATGTACATAAGTGTGTACCAACTACAACCCCAATTCCAAAAAAAGTTGGGACATTTTATAAAATCTATATAAAATAATAAAAAACAGAATGCAATGATAAGCAAATCTCAAAAACCCATATTTTATTCACAATAGAACATAGAAAACAAATCAAATGTTTAAGCTGAGAACATTTACAATTTAAAGAAAAAAATAAGGTAATTTTGAAATTCATGCCAACAACATATCTCAAAAAGGTGGACACAGGGCAACAAAAAGCTGGCAAAGTGAGTGGTACTAACATGGAAGAGCTAGGAAGAGCTAGAAGAACATTTTGTAACTAATTAGGTTAGGTGGCAACAGGTTAGTTACATGATTGAGTATAGAAAGAGCATCTTAGTAAGTCAGAGTGTTTTAAAAGTAAAGATGGGCAGAGGTTCACCAATCAGTGAAAAGCTGCATCTAAGTAATTGAATAATTTTCTTCAATGTAAAATTGCAAAGACTTTAAATATATCATCATCAGGAGCATGCCCAACGTTTTAAGGCATGCATACAAGGCATGGTACATAATATCATCAAAATAATCAGAACATTTGTAGATTTCTCTGTGTGCAAGGGACAAAGCTGAAACACAATATTGGATGATCTTCAGGTCCTCAAATGGCACTGCATTAAAAACAGTGGATATCACTGCATGGGCTCAGGAATACTTCCAAAAATCACTGCCTGTGAGCAAAGTTCACCATGCCATCCTAAAATGCAAAGGATGAACAGGATGAGCATTGCCACTGGTGTGAATGTATCTGACCAAACAATCAGAAACATGCTTCATAAAGGTGGCCTGAGGGCTCAACATTCTCTAGTGGGCCCTGTGCTCACTGTCTGGAACCATAGAGCTTGATTGGCATTTGCCACTGAACACCAGAATTGGCAGGTTCGCCACTGGCGCCCTGTGCTTTTCACAGATGAAAGCAGGTTCACCCTGAGCACATGTGACAGATGTGAAAGGGTCTGGAGAAGCCATAGAGAACATTATGCTCCCTGTAACATCGTTAAGCAAGACCGTTTTGGTGGTGGGTCAGTGATGGTCTGGGGAGGCATATCCATTGAGGGACACACAGACCTCTACAGGCTAGACAATGGCACCCTGACTGCCATTAGGTATTGAGATGAGATCCTTGGAACCAGTGTCAGACCTTACGCTGGTGCACTGGGTCCTGGGTCCTGGGTTCTCCTGGTGCACGACAATGTCTGGCCTTATGTGGCGAGAGTATGCAGGCAGTTCCTGGAGGATGAAAGAATTGATACCATTGAATGGCCCCCTACACTGACCTAAATCAAATAGAACATCTCTGGGATATCATGCTTTGGTCCATCCGACGACGCCAGGTTGCACCTCAGACTGTCCAGGACCTCAGTGATGCCCTATTCCAGATCTGGAAGGACACCATCTGTCATCTCATTAGGAGCATGCCCCGAAGTTTTAAGGCATGCATACAAGCGTGTGGGAGGCCACGCAAACTACTGAGTACCATTTTGAGTTGCTGCAATGAAATTTCAGCAAAATGGACTAGCCTGCCGCATCATTTTTTCACTTTGATTTTCGGGGTTGTAGCAATCGTGCACACGAGAATGGACGCGGTCATCCATTTTGCTCCAAACCCCTCCATCTTGTATCTCTCTCTCCCAAATCAGATTCCTCCGATATCCCCCCTCCCTCTCTGTTGAGTGACATGTGGTCTGTTTGATGACAGAGATCACAGGCAGCAAACTCATTGGGAGGGCGTCATGGCTATAAACCTCACTAGCTGGTGCCCCTATGTCTGCGAGACTCTTGCTGGAGAAGGGATCTTAAAACCATCAACCCAGCCCTCACAGAGCTTCAATGACATTCCAGGTACTCGTAAAAACAGACTTAAATTTAAAAACTCACTTTTCCATATAATTTTATATCTTCAAATAGGACATAACTACATAAACATGGTGTCAGGAATGGACTGGCCAGCAATGGTGGGACTCACCTGCCTTATGGGCTGCAGTACCAGGGCTGGCCAGTGGGTGCTCCCAGCAATCAGAGACTCAACCTTGCAGCCAGCCAAAATCCTGAAACTGCTTATGCTGGTGTATTTAAGGGATGGCCAGACCTGCAGACTCTGCCTTGGTGTGTGTTTCTCCTGGGCCCTGTTTCCTGTTCCTGCAACCCTGTTCCTGTTCCTGTTCTGTCTGATTCGTTGCTGACCCTGCTCTGATCCCTGGCTTTGTCTGACCATTCTCCTGCTCTGATCCCTGGCTTTGTCTGACCATTCTCCTGCTCTGATCCCTGGCTTTGTCTGACCATTCTCCTGCTCTGATCCCTGGCTTTGTCTGACCATTCTCCTGCTCTGATCCCTGGCTTTGTCTGACCATTCTCCTGCTTTACCCCATACGTTCTGACCTCCTGTTTATGATTCGGCCTGCCTGACGATGCTTGCATTGTATGTTTTGTTATCTGTGGGTGGTTTGGTTTGGTTCGTTTGCACTGTGTTATGTTTTAGTATTGCACTGCGTTTATGTTTGTATTGTTAGTCTTTAATAAATTATATTGTTTATAACTTATCTGAAGCCTGCGTTTCCCTGCGTCAGTCACATACCTCTGGTCATACCCTGGAGCCCTGACATTACACCAAGGCCAATCCTGACCAGAAGTGGCTGCACAGGGAAACCATCTTGGTTTGTTGATGGGAAGGATGGATCTTGATGAGGTTGTGTATTTATATCTGCTAGTGTTTGATGACAGAGAATATGCTTATCAAACTCTGAAGGAGTATCCCTGGGATGAACTGCTAGAATGTATACGGATCGCTCATGTTCTAGTAGATCAGGGCACAGAATTCTGAGGTGCAGCCATTGATTCAGGTTTGTGTGGAGTTGGTTTCATCTGGTACCCCCGAATGCAGGGATGAATTTTTGCCGCCATTTAGTGCCGGCCAGGTAGAGTCCCTGGTATGGTTATTAGAGGATGATGTGGGTTACTTTCTGGAGCGTTATTCTGCATGTTCACAACAGGTACTAAGAGATTGTATAAACGCAGTGCAGTCATTGACCAGACAGGCTTTGTGTAAGCTGAGCTTTGTTCAACCCATACTGCAGACATCGACAGATTTGTTGCACCCAGCCTCAGTCAGCTTGCAAAAACCTAGTCCTGCTTCTAATCTATTTCCTCAAAGCTCTATTCCTGCATTCCCAACAGCTCCTCCTGCCCTGCTATCTACCGCATGTCAGTACCCTGTTCCCACTCGCTGCACCTATCCTGCCTTTAACCCTGTAAGAAAGTCCTCTGTAGCAACTGTTCCCTCCCCTGTTCCATCCTCCAGCTCTTCTCTGTCTCCAGCTGCTCCATTCGTTTGCAGACCTGCATTTACTTGCAGTGCCCCAGTAGTTAAAACCAGAAAAAAGCAGAAATTCTTTCCAACCAGTACCATCCTGCCAGTATCCAAACCGGTCAGCCTGCCGTCTGAGAACCGGCCTTCCGTGGTTCAGCCTGGTGCCTCGGCACCCGCACTTCAGCCTGATGCCTGTACCCAGCCTGAGGCCTGTACCCAGCCCGAGGCCTGTACCCAGCCCGAGGCCTGTACCCAGCCCGATGAACTGATCCAGCCTGATGATCCTATTAGGCCAGTTGACCCGATGCCCGCTGTCGAGCCAGACGATCCAATGCCTGGTGACCTGGTGCCCGCTGCCTTGCCAGATGACGCGGTGCCCGCTGGCAAGCCAAATGACCTGATGCCTGGTGACCCAGTGCCCGCTGTCATACCTGGTGACCCGATGCCCGCTGTCGAGCCAGACAATCCGATACCTGATGACCCGGTGCCCGCTGTCATGCCAATTGACTCAGAGCCCACTGTCGTGCCTGGTGACTTGGTGCCCACTGCCTTGCCAGATGATGCGGTGCCCGCTGGCAAGCCGAATGACCTGATGCCTGGTGACCCAGTGCCCGCTGTCATACCTGGTGACCCGATGCCCGCTGTCGAGCCAGACAATCCGGTACCTGATGACCCGGTGCCCGCTGTCGTGCCAATTGACTCAGAGCCCCCTGTCGTGCCTGGTGACTTGGTGCCCACTGTCTTGCCAGATGACGCGGTGCCCGCTGTTGAGCCAAATGACCTGATGCCTGGTGACCCGATGCCCACTGTCCAGCCAGACGATCCAATGTCTGACCCAGTGCCCGCGGTCATGCCAGTTGACTCGGAGCCCACTGCCTTGCCAGATGACGCGGGGCCCGCTGTCGAGCCAAATGACCTGATGCCTGGTGACCCGATGCCCGCTGTCCAGCCAGATGATCCATTGTCTGACCCAGTGCCAGCGGTCATGCCAGTTGACTCGGAGCCCACTGTCGTGCCTGGTGACTTGGTGCCTGTCGCTCCGCCTGGGGGGGGTCCGGAACCCGCCGCTCCGCCTGGGGCCGAGACCTGTCGCTCCGCCTGGGGGTCCGGCACCCGCCGCTCCGCCTGGGGGCCCGAGAGCTGTCGCTTCGCCTGGGGGTCCGGCGCCCGCCGCTCCGCCTGGGGGCCCGAGACCTGTCGCTCCGCCTGGGGGTCCGGCGCCCGCCGCTCCGCCTGGGGCCCGAGACCTGTCGCTCCGCCTGGGGGTCCGGCGCCCACCGCTCCGCCTGGGGGGCCGAGACCTGTCGCTCCGCCTGGGGGCCCGAGTCCTGCCGCTCCGCCTAGGGGTCCGGCGCCCGCCGCTCCGCCTGGGGGCCCAAGACCTGTCGCTCCGCCTGGGGGTCCAGCGCCCGCCGCCCCGCCTGGAGGCCCGATGCCTGTCGCCCCGCCTGGGGGCCCGATGCCTGTCGCCCCGCCTGAGGACCCGATGCCTGTCGCCCCGCCTGGGGGCCCGATGCCTGTCGCCCCCGCCTGGGGGCCCGATGCCTGTCGCCCCGCCTGGGGGCCCGCCGCTCCACCACTGGGGGCCCGATGCCTGTCGCCCCACCTGGGGGCCCGATGCCTGTCGCCCCTCCTGGGGGCCCAGCGCCCGCTGCTCCGCCTGAGGGCCCGATGCCTGTCGCTCCGCCTGGGGGCCCGATGCCTGTCGCTCCGCCTGGGGGCCCGGTGCCTGTCGCTCCGCCTGGGGGCCCGGTGCCTGCTGCTCCGCCTGGGGGCCCGGTGCCTGCTGCTCCGCCTGGGGGCCCGGTGCCTGCTGCTCCGCCTGGTGGCCCGCTGCCTGCTGCTTCGCCTGGTGATCCGATGTGCCTCTGCCCGGAGTCCAGCCCGATGTGCCTCTGCCCGGAGTCCAGACCGATGTGCCTCTGCCCGGAGTCCAGCCCGGTGTGCCTCTGCCCGGAGTCCAGCCCGGTGTGCCGCTGCCCGGAGTCCAGCCCGGTGTGCCGCTGCCCAGAGTCCAGCCCGGTGTGCCGCTGCCCGGAGTCCAGCCCGGTGTGCCGCTGCCCGGAGTCCAGCCGCCCGGTGTGCCGCTGCCCGGAGTCCAGCCCGGTGCCGCCCCCGTGTGCCGCTGCCCGGAGTCCAGCCGCCCGGTGTGCCGCTGCCCGGAGTCCAGCCGCCCGGTGTGCCGCTGCCCGGAGTCCAGCCGCCCGGTGTGCCGCTGCCCGGAGTCCAGCCGCCCGGTGTGCCGCTGCCCGGAGTCCAGCCGCCCGGTGTGCCGCTGCCCGGAGTCCAGCCGCCCGGTGTGCCGCTGCCCGGAGTCCAGCCGCCCGGTGTGCCGCTGCCCGGAGTCCAGCCGCCCGGTGTGCCGCTGCCCGGAGTCCCGCTGCCCGGAGTCCTGCCCGGTGTGCCAGTCTTTGATATCCCGCCAGTTACCAGACCCGGGCGGTGGAACATTTTGCTCAGCTAGGACTGTTTGGAGCGTCCTGAGGCCGCTCCTTGAGGGGGGGGGTACTGTCAGGAATGGACTGGCCAGCAATGGTGGGTCTCACCTGCCTTATGGGCTGCAGTACCAGGGCTGGCCAGCGGGTGCTCCCAGCAATCAGAGACTCAACCTTGCAGCCAGCCAAACACCTGAAACTGCTTATGCTGGTGTATTTAAGGGATGGCCAGACCTACAGACTCTGCCTTGGTGTGTGTTTCTCCTGGGCCCTGTATCCTGTTCCTGCAACCCTGTTCCTGTTCCTGTCTGATTCGTTGCTGACCCTGCTCTGATCCCTGGCTTTGTCTGACCATTCTCCTGCTCTGATCCCTGGCTTTGTCTGACCATTCTCCTGCTCTGATCCCTGGCTTTGTCTGACCATTCTCCTGCTCTGATCCCTGGCTTTGTCTGACCATTCTCCTGCTCTGATCCCTGGCTTTGTCTGACCATTCTCCTGCTTTACCCCCCATACGTTCTGACCTCCTGTTTATGATCCAGCCTGCCTGACGACGCTTGCATTGTATGTTTTGTTATCTGTGGGTGGTTTGGTTTGGTTCGTTTGCACTGTGTTATGTTTTAGTATTGCACTGCGTTTGTTTGTATTGTTATCTTTTAGTAATAAATGATATTGTTTATAACTTATCTGAAGCCTGCGTTTCCCTGCGTCAGTCACATACCTCTGGTCATACCCTGGAGCCCTGACACATGGAGCACATAGCCAGACGGCTCACTTTAATACAAATCATTTGGTATATTACATCCCCTAGCTGAGATCAACAGGAGAGCAGAAAATATCTCCTTAACCATCCCAGCAGGTATCTCTTATTTCATATGTAGACATTCAGCAGAAGATTCTGCATATTAATCTACTCGTGGATAGAATGTTATATGTATCCAGGGTAAGTTATGAATCATAATATAAGCTAAGAGATTTGAGGTCATAGCTTGGGTCTCCGCCTGCCACACCCACCCAAATGAGGCGATTGTTTCTCTGCTTCAGGGAGACACCCTGCTGAGTTCCTAGATAAAGGCTGTGATGCTTGAAGTTAAGCTGAGCTGAGTTGAGCTTTTGCTCTGAACTTGAAAACTGCTTACCCCAAGGCTTTTGGCAAGTACTTTATCTATTCAAATTCCTTTCTGTTATCTCTTTGCTGTGTTATTGCTCTCTCTCTCTCTCTCTCTCTCTCTCTATATATATATATATATATATATATATATAGGCTACATCTTTTTCTGTAAATATTTTTTTTGCACCCTTTTGACCTTTTAGCAATAAATCTTACTTTCTGAAAGTGTTGACTGTTTCTAAAGCACTTTGATGCAAACTAAGAACCCCTGCCTCTGAAGAACGCTACTGTTTGTGTGTTTTAAACTTTGGTATATCTCTGCCTGCGGTGACAGTGGTATACCGACAATTATTCAAACATCGTAGTGTTATTGCAGATATTGCCTAGTTTCTTCTTTCTCTGTACAAAAAGGAGGTGGTGGCAGTGTGAAGGGTTAATTGCGTAATTAACCTGACCCAGTAACAGTCGCTCCCAGGCTTCCGTCACACAGGTTGTGGTCCATTAGCTGGAAAATCTTTGTGCAGGGTGCAGCTGGGCATGGCATTGTTACGCACGTGACAGCCGGTTTTAGATTGGCTAGTCCTTCGGTCACGAGTTTGGTGAGAAGGGCTGGGGTCTGACGCCGCGACCGTCACAGGGGTATCTTTGAATTCAGTCCTCTGTAGGTTGATAATTTGCATTTCCATCAAACGATGGGGCATCCTTACGTTCCTAACACATTACCCAGTCCATATCAGTATAGATATCCAACATGATATTTTTCCCCATTGAGATCTGATGTATTTCTAAAGTGTTCCTTTAATTTTTTTGAGCAGTGTATATATAATCTTCCCCTTACTTTAGGAAATGAGGGAGTATGTCTGAGCGGGTAGTCACCAGTCCTGAGTTCTATCAAGTGGCTCAGTGAATAAGAGAGGTTTGGGCGTCGGATCCTTAGCACTGTATTGGGTTCTACCTTTAAACTTGCACAAGGCTTTTTCTTGAGCATACAGTAGGCAAATGGGGAAATGAGAGAGTGTGGAGAAGGTAGGCAGCAGCAGTGAAAGAGAGAGCTATCAAGCAAACCTCTTACTTTTCCCTGAATGGGCAAAGTAAAGATTTTCATTACTGCAGTATGTTCAAATTATGTGAAAACTATTTTGCAGCATGTTAACAATATATGAATTTTATTAAATTCCTCTGTATTTGTAATAAACTGTATAATGGACAATACAGATGCATATTACTGTATGTGATTTTCAGTGAGTCTTAACAACTTTGCACAGAAGTTGAGGGAGATGCATAGATAAGGGACAGTTAAAACCCCTGTCAGATTTTTTTTGCCATCTCTGTTCTTATTGGGTAGTATTCCTTTCACTTCCTGTACCACAGCCACAACAGGAAGTGAGAGAAAAGCTCTCTAAATTGAGGGAAATCACTGATAGTCACTGTGTCAGGAATGGATTCAGCACTGGTGGTGGGACTCTCCTGCCGTGTGGGCTGCAGTACCAGAGCTGACCTGCGGGTGCTCTCAGCACTGGTGGTGGGACTCTCCTGCCGTGTGGGCTGCAGTACCAGAGCTGACCAGCGGGTGCTCTCAGCACTGGTGGTGGGACTCTCCTGCCGTGTGGGCTGCAGTACCAGAGCTGACCAGCGGGTGCTCTTAGCAGCCAGAAGCTCACAATCAGCCAAACCTGGGGCTGATTACAGAAAGGTGTATATAAGGCATGACCAGGCCTGTGCTCTGGGCCTTGGTGTATGTTTTCCCATGAGCCCCTGTATCCTGTTCCTAGTTCCTGTGAGAAGATACCTTGTTGCCGACCCTGCCTGATCCTGATTCCTGTTGACCGTCTCCTGTTCTGACTACTGGCTCATCCCTGACCATCCTTCTGCCTGATCCTCTGTACTGCGCTGTCCGTGAGTTACTGAACCCGGCTTGTGACCTTGACCATTCTCTGCCTGCTCCTTTGATACCTTGCTGCCCGCACGTTGCTGACTTGGCCTGTCTGACCACGCTCACTACTCTGCCATCCATCCATCCTGCACGGATCCAGCCGTACCTGCACATACCTCTGGCGGATCCCTCTATCACTAGCAGGTGTACTCAGGGGCCGCGACCTGGTTCCTGTCTGCTCCAAGTCCATCCCCACCATCAGGGGCCCTGGTGAATAGCAGACTGGGACTTAGACTCCGCGCCCTGGGGAATCCTGCCCTGA